TCCATTTTTCTTTTCCAAATATTTTCCATCCTCAGTTGAATTTGTGAATGCAGAACTCTTGGATTCAGAGGGCCAACTGTACTTTAAATACATCACAAAATCTCTTCTGACTTTAGGGCAAAAGGCCAATGCACCAAGTGTACTATTCCATGACCTCCTTATGGCCACGACTCCTATCAGGGAGAAACCAGACCAGCCACTCGTACATCTTGTCATTGTCAGTAGTTCATTTTTCTTTGATTGATCAATTCAGCAACATTTGTATACCCACCATTCACCATTATACCTTACACACAAGGAACACCTGGGCATTAACACCATGGACTCACAGAGGTCCTAAGCCTCCAGGAAATGAGCAAAGGAGCCTACCATAAGTCCAGGAGGGAATATTCTGGGGGCCTGGGCACAAGAGAATTATTTGTGGTCATTCAGGTCCTTTGACCATGGAGTCTTGGCCCTTCCAGGGACTGAATGTTCAGGCAGAGTGAGGCACTCTGAGAACACAGATGAGGATAGGAAGCAGCAACTGAGTAATTTGCCTTAAACCAGAACCTTACTCACCCCATAGTAATTAATGGAGGTCTCTGAAACTTGAAAGGGAAAAGATAATGGAACCTATGGAGGGTACTATTAAAAGTCTGAAAACTGGCCAGGCATAGTGGCTCATGCCTGTAATCCCAGCACTGTGGGAGGCTGAGGGAGAACCGCTAGAGCTCAGGAGTTCGAGTTCGTGACTCGCCTGAGCAAAAGTGAGACCCCAACTCATGAAAAAAATGGAAAAACTCAGCCAGGTGCCGCGTGAGCGCCTGAAATCCCAGCAGCTTCTGGAGGTTGAGGCAGCGGGATGCCCAGAAGCTGGAGTGGGATGCCCACAAGCTGGAGTTTGAGGTTGCAGTGAGCTACCAAGCCACTGCACTCTGCTCAGAAGCAGAGGCTGGGACTCTGTCTCAACAACAACAACAACAACAACAAACAAAAGGAAAGAAATAAAAGTCTGAAAACTGTAGGGCACCGGCCCCATATACTGAGGGTGGCAGGTTCAAACCTGGCTCCAGCCAAACTGCAAAAAAAAAA